GCGGACTCCCAACCCCTGGGCCACTTAGGGAAGTCCCAGAAATGTTGTTTATATTATACCATAGCATAAAATCTGGCACTGATATTTGTTCTAGATTTCTCCCAACCCCCAAATATATGTAGAAGGTATATTTAAGGACAACTTATTTAAGAGACACATTGTAACTATTATGAAGCTTCTATCATGAACTGCTTTGTCTACTTTATAGTTTTAAAGTTTGCCATATAATATACATTAATATGTAACATGATATGTGTATTATAATGCAGTATATATAATATATACATAAAATTGAGGGGAAAGTTACTTACTTAAAACCTTCTTTAGTTACTGTTAGAATTCCATTCCAATATGGGAAAGAAAGAATCCAGTGTGATTTTAATAAAGTTTACTGTAGTCATACCATTGTGCTTTTCTTGAAGTGGATGCAAAATTTTCAGATACAAAAAGTCAATTTAAAGTGTCAAAAGAAAAAGAAGTGAACTTTCAAATAGCCTAGCTAAAGAAAATATTGATATAAACACCTGTGACAACATTCCTTTCCTCTTCCCATTCCACTGGATAGCATGTCTTTTACCACTGAAATCCTTTGTGTTCCTTTTAGTTGGGCACATTTCCAGACTTCTTTCCCCTTCATTATCCTGTTTTCATTTTGCCCCCCCCCTTAAAAAAATTAACAACCTGATATAAGTAAGATTTAAAGAATGTCTTTGAAGAAGCAAGCATCACAGAAGTTGATAGTAGTGATGTTAAATGAAAAGTTCATTTTGCTCTAGAAAAAGAGCTATGGGTAACCTAAATGCCTCTCAGTTTTTTCTCAGTACAAGAAACTAGTTAAGGTCTGTCTTTGAATAGAAGAGGAGAATAGAGGCTGTAGTTCTCATTTAACAAAAGTGTCTTTCCATATTAGTGGAATAAAGTGTCAAAATAAACTGAGTACTTTTTAAATTAGTAGCTGGTAAGAAGTACGTCTGTATTGATATGAAAAGTATGTGGATTAAAAGAAATACATTAAAAATTAATGTAAAATTAATTAAAAATTACAGAAAGTTATTAACGTTACTCTTGTCCTTTTTTAATCTGAGTTTAATTTTGTCCATTTTGAAATTATATATTCTACCTATTGCCTTTTGAAAAGAGAAAATTAATAATGAAACAATATATTTTGAATGTTTTCTTGTGGGTTTTATCTAGATTTCTATAAAAGTGATTTAAAAGTATGGTTTGAAAATTTTGCCTCTGGTTGGAAGTAACATATGTTTAAATGCTGGGTGAGCAGTAGGGCCAAAAAAAATACATAGGAGCCCCCCAGCAG